TTATCTTTCAATTCTACATTTCCACAAACATTTTGAAGTATGTAAGCTAGAGAATTCATCAGATTCAAGTTGATTTTGTTGCTGTTGTTGGTATTGTTGCTACTGTTATTACCTATGTCAGATAAGTTACATCAACCACATGAATTCTCCCAAGTTGTATTGCCATTGGTGATGTAATTTTCCCAAACATAACTCTTGGAAAAGGTCTGAACAAATCAATATAAGCTTCCCTCAATTTAAACACTAAACAGTTACTTCCTGGAAATTTTGGTATATATTAAAAGTGTGCAAAAATATTTTGTATTTGTATATAATATGGAACTAGGCTTTAGGTTCAGATGATTATAATCTATTTTCCACCTGCATGAATTTCTGGTAAGTCATGTGATATGTGGGAAAATTCTTTGCCAAGTAGGATTATCTGCCACATTGTGGAAAGTCTAGCATCTCTGGCTCCCATCCACTAAATGCCACTAGAACCCCACCCAAATCTTTATGACTACTATAAATGTCCTCTCATATTTACAAAATACCCCTTGTGGGTCACTTTGTCCCCTGTTGAAAACCACTGAATTATTTTGACCAGCAGCAAAAGAAGAAATTGGTTTTAGCTGCATATATGCAATTATTTGGGGAAAGGAAAATATCCTATATGGGGAATGAATATTGAAACACTTACAAATTTAAAACTTTCATAAGTTTTTCTCAGTTGGCAGAATTTTATTTCTCCAAACTATGGTGGAAAATGTAAATAGGCTCTCTGATAAAATAAATGAGGTCACAATGATTGCCTACTCAAAAGTATGTAAAGAAACTGTTAACAACCAGGAAACCATACTTACTGGTATAGGTAGGGAAACTGGGATAGCAGCAAGAAATGAGAATCCATTTTTAATTCTTTTCTAAACATAAATGTTCATTTACAGATCTCCTGGTGCTATACTTAGATAATTGATCCATGATGCTGATAAGGAATTGTGCTCATCTCTCAGATGGAAAAAATATAGTCAAATGTTTGCACTTCTGTAGCTTCCTTGCCTTATTATGTGATACACTTATCTTTTTCTTTTGACATAATGAAACAGTTACTTTATTTGTTGTCTTTTGTATTTAAATGCTGTTTATCATCCAAAAATAGAAGCCATTTTTAAATCTAGGTTGAAAGATATTTTGTCATTATTCCTTATAGCAAACAGCAAGTATAGTGAAGGGATCTTCATATCACATGGATGAGACTAAACCCTAGCTCTGCCATTTACTGGCCATACGACCTTGGAAGAGGTATTTCATCTCTCTCAATTTCCGCTTCCTCGTTTGGCAAAAGGTGAATTCCCACCTTCTCGAGCTGTGGTGAAAGCACCTGTGTAAAGAATACTGTGCCTCACAAGCAATGTGTCTGCTTTCCCCTCTCATCTCTTGCTTGACCCTGTTCCCCCTAAGCTGCCACAAAGATGATACTGCCCATATTTGAAATCTATGCATTCCAAACAGATCTTCCTTTTCTAGTCTTTTTACTGTGGAGAATTTATAACACTCACAGAAAAAAATAGTCATAATGTATAATGACACTCCAAGCTTCAATAATTACAAGTCATGCCCATCTCCTGCATATATGTCCTCATCTGCTTTCTACCCTCTGCATAAACAAGCAAATCCAGGCATTATTTTATCTGTAAATGTTTTAGCATGTATCTCTAAAAGATAAGAACTCTTTTAAAAATAGAATCATAGGGCTGGCCCGGTGGCGCACTGCTACAGTGCGCTGCTTGGGAGCGCAGTGGCGCTCCCGCCGAGGGTTCAGATCCCACATACAGACCGGTTCCCGCTCACTGGCTGAGCGAGGTGTGGGTGCGACACCGAGGGTTGCGATCCCGTTGCCGGACACGAAAAAAGACAAAAAGGAAAAAAAAAAAATAGAATCATAATACCATGTCACACCTAAAATATTTAACATTATTCCTTAACATCATCATATATCCAGAATGCTCAAAGTTCCAGTGTCTTATACATCTTTTACAGTTTGCGTGAACTAGGATATATTATATCCACAAATTACAAAAAGGGTCTTTTACATCTCTTAATCTAAAAGATACAATTTAAATAAATAAATAAATAAATCTCTTACTCTAACAGCTAACATGCACTTTTGTCCTCTGTATTATACTAGGCACCTTCAAAAAAGTTCATGAAAAGATCCATATTATCTTTCAATTCTACATTTCCACAAACATTTTGAAGTATGTAAGCTAGAGAATTCATCAGATTCAAGTTGATTTTGTTGCTGTTGTTGGTATTGTTGCTACTGTTATTACCTATGTCAGATAAGTTACATCAACCACATGAATTCTCCCAAGTTGTATTGCCATTGGTGATGTAATTTTCCCAAACATAACTCTTGGAAAAGGTCTGAACAAATCAATATAAGCTTCCCTCAATTTAAACACTAAACAGTTACTTCCTGGAAATTTTGGTATATATTAAAAGTGTGCAAAAATATTTTGTATTTGTATATAATATGGAACTAGGCTTTAGGTTCAGATGATTATAATCTATTTTCCACCTGCATGAATTTCTGGTAAGTCATGTGATATGTGGGAAAATTCTTTGCCAAGTAGGATTATCTGCCACATTGTGGAAAGTCTAGCATCTCTGGCTCCCATCCACTAAATGCCACTAGAACCCCACCCAAATCTTTATGACTACTATAAATGTCCTCTCATATTTACAAAATACCCCTTGTGGGTCACTTTGTCCCCTGTTGAAAACCACTGAATTATTTTGACCAGCAGCAAAAGAAGAAATTGGTTTTAGCTGCATATATGCAATTATTTGGGGAAAGGAAAATATCCTATATGGGGAATGAATATTGAAACACTTACAAATTTAAAACTTTCATAAGTTTTTCTCAGTTGGCAGAATTTTATTTCTCCAAACTATGGTGGAAAATGTAAATAGGCTCTCTGATAAAATAAATGAGGTCACAATGATTGCCTACTCAAAAGTATGTAAAGAAACTGTTAACAACCAGGAAACCATACTTACTGGTATAGGTAGGGAAACTGGGATAGCAGCAAGAAATGAGAATCCATTTTTAATTCTTTTCTAAACATAAATGTTCATTTACAGATCTCCTGGTGCTATACTTAGATAATTGATCCATGATGCTGATAAGGAATTGTGCTCATCTCTCAGATGGAAAAAATATAGTCAAATGTTTGCACTTCTGTAGCTTCCTTGCCTTATTATGTGATACACTTATCTTTTTCTTTTGACATAATGAAACAGTTACTTTATTTGTTGTCTTTTGTATTTAAATGCTGTTTATCATCCAAAAATAGAAGCCATTTTTAAATCTAGGTTGAAAGATATTTTGTCATTATTCCTTATAGCAGGAATTGTTTATTCATATAGTTCCTAGCCTGTTCCTGGTACATAGTAGATGTTCATTAAATATTTGTTGAATGAACTCACTCATCCAGTAATCACCATTATCTTTAATATATTTTATTACTGTGTAGAATCATGCACTTTCATATATTAATTTTATTCTCATGTCATAATTATCAAGAAACATTAAGTGTGGGTCTCTTATACAGAGTAGAAACTGAGTTAAGTGATTTCTTCTAACTTATGCTGCTGGCATAACTAGGATAACATTTTAGGATTTCTGGCCTTTAGTTTACTATTTCTACCAACAGGCTTCTTTCTGGTTTAAAATTATATGTTTTCTATTCCTGCTCCACAGCTGTTTTCATGTATTCAAAGCATTCGTTGGAAGAAAAAAAAAAAAAAAAAAAAAAAAAAAAAAAAAAAAGGAAGGAAGGAAAAGAAAGAAGGGAGTTGTGATTAATTCTCCCAATATTTACATATTGGCCTTGACCCTCAGAAATCCAAAATAGGATATCAAATATTTTGGTGGCAAAGCCTGTCTGATGGGAGACATGGCTCTTCTAAAAGCAAGTTACATATTTAATGTCTGTAAACTGCAAAGCGGGGTGCAGCATCCACATAGTAATTGTTCAGAGACTGGAACTTTGTAACTATGGAGACATTACCTCATAGGGTTCTAAGAGGCGGTGTTGGCCAGATGCCAAAGCTGTAGTAATAAAGGTTGCTTTGCTGGGTTACTGCCCTGTCTTTCCAGCTGCTTTCAGTGAATACTACACACCTTCACTGTGGTTTGTCTAATATCCTTAGCCAATATCAGTATTGGCTATGTCGGTACTTACATATTCACATAAAAATTCTGGTTCTGGCACCAATGTGGTAAAAAAAATCATTAAATCTGGCAGGTGCTTGAAGGTAGTTAATAGGTGAGGTCACTTTAAAAAGAAAATCTGCCTTGAACCTAAGCTATATTCATTGACTAATGTCATAATCTATTTTCCTAGGAAAGAAAAGAGACTTCTCTTCTAGCCAGCATGAAAGACACACAAGTCATTCAGGAAGCTCTGGAGGCCCTGCAGAGTGAAGCTCATGATCAGCAAGATAAGATGGAAAAACAAGAGCAGTAAGAAGGGCACAGATGAGAGGAGAGAAGGGTCTGAGTTTTAGAGGGATAAGAATGGAGTACTTAACCTCTTTTGTTTCAAAACACCCCATGAAGGAGTTAGAACTAGAACAGATTCCACAGAGTTTCTAAAAACGAACTCTATGAGTAGTATACAACTATTTCCCCAACCACTATGTTTTAAGGGTCTAGTCCCTGAGTAATGAGAAAATTTATCTAGACATATCTCCATCATGTAAGACCTGGCTGAGACTCCCAAGTTCCAAATTAGCATGCTAAGTCAATTTGCAGACAACTTCTACAGAACCACTTTAGTAACCTGGGGACAAAAAAGTTACCAGCATTTTGGTTTTGGAAATGTCTGTGAGGGTGTCATATAAATTACAACTCCCTATTTTTATTACTAATATAAATTATTCTACCAGCTAAAGCATTAGCATAGGTTTTCCAATGTTATCAAAAAAGGAATTTTAGTAATACATAATTTAAAGCTATTGTTACTTTGGACTTAGACATCCTGTGTTTACTGTTCAGTCTAAGTCTGCTTTTTAATATTTGTTCTTAGAGGTCCTCTGACAAATAATTATTGCCAGTCTTACCAACGCAGCATCTTCCAAAGTAAGACTGAAATGCTGAAATTGTGCTTTTGTAATTGTCCCTGGTTTAGTGCTAGTCAATTATAGAGGGAGCAAAATCCCAAGGAGGGGCTTGGAAAATTCCTTATGCTAAAGAGAAAGTTAACTAAGCACTAAGAAGAACCTCTTATCTTCCAAAAGGAGCCTGATGGGTAGACAAGTGGTGATTTCAGACAATGGGCTGCATCACAGGAGTTGTTCCTAAATGTTTCAGCTCTTCCAAAGATGCAGTACATGAGTTGTTCCTAAATGTTTCAGCTCTTCCAAAGATGCAGCTATTAGAAATTTCTTACTCAACCACAAAAATAAGAACACCCTGTGGTGCTGGGCCAGATGTCTCACAGGAGTTGTTCCTAAATGTTTCAGCTCTTCCAAAGATGCAGCCATTAGAAATTTCTTACTCAACCACAAAAATAAGAACACCCTGTGGTGCTGGGCCAGATGTCTCTGATTGCAACATTTGTGAAGGCTTATTGAGAATCTTATGTGATATTAAATTTATTTGAAAATGCTATTGTTTTACTGGAAGAAAAAAATTGGGAACTCATAAAATGAACATGCTGAAAAGAGATGGCCAGTCTGTAATGAAACCCAGATGTAAAAAACATGGAGAGAAAGCACTTTCCCTGCTTTTTCCTGCCAGTGTCAGGGAGCAGCCGTGTCATGTGATCCTATCTCAGGTTAGACAGAGATGAAATATTTGTAATTTGGCAATCTACCTCAGTACCTTTATAGCCATACTCAAGAGTGTATCTCCATGGATCAGAGCTTTTCCTACAAATATGAGTGCTTGGCGTGTCAGCAGAATGGAAAGTGCTCAAGCTTACTAAACGCTGGGCTAGTAATAATGCAATTTTCAAAGCCAATGCCATTTAATTATTTTTAAATTTTGTCTGATAAGCCTGTGCCTTCTGAGAGGTACATTTGGAACAGTCTGTTTCTTAATACGAAGCTCTCCAGATATAATATTTCTGATAAAGAAACTTCCAAACTGTAGAACAAAACAATTGTGAATACCTCTTGGTAAACAGAGATGTTGACAGTGACATCAGCAAGACAGCGGACTAGGAGGCTCCAGACCCTCATTCCCCCATGGAAACTTAAAAAAAAATGTAATAAACTAGAAACTGGCTAAAATAACTTCTTTTAAGAGCCTGGGGAACAGATCAAAACAGAGATAATCCATGGAAGCAAAATACGCAGCTCCTGACTCATAGTGGATAGATTTGAGGCCTCCAGAAAGGGCTGGTTGAGTTGACCATTTGTCCAGTTTTTCAGAGAAAGGGTTTTGGACTCCAGGACTTTGTTCACAATTGAAGCATTAAACACACACACACACACACACACACACACAGACACACACACTCACACACAGAATTTATTTGAAAGCAGGCATCAACTATAGAATCTTTAGAATATAGGAAAATTAGTTAAGCAGCAATAAGAATTAAAGGAAAAGGGGATAGTATACAATGATACATTAAACAGGAATTATCATCATGTTTTATGTTAACTGAAAGGGGAAATAGGATATAATTAGTGATAAAAGTCAGGTATGTAAATCATTTGGTTTATAAGGTCCCAACGTTGAGTAAAAAATGCATTAAAAAGCCTGGAAGGAGATGGTAAAATCTCTGGTTAGTGGCATTACCTTAATTATTATCTTCTTTTTTCTACTATTATACATTTTCAAAATCATCTACAATAGGAATGTATGGATATTAAATAGAAAATAATAAAATAAAAGCATGTAATAACTTGCCACTTAAGTGTTTGATTTAGATGGTTAAAACTAAAAATGTAAAATGTCACTGTGCCTGTGTTAGATGCATAATACCTTTGAAAAGCAGAACTCTGAATAAGGATAATAGCCCATGCTTCTGGTATTCATAGCCATTTTGACTTTCTTACTTTGTTTATTCAATACATTTTGTACACAGAAGAGAAAACAAACTTGGAGCTCCCCCAACAATACAGCAATCTTCAGTACATTTTTTCCCAGAGACAAGAGGTTCGGATGCCACGATACTGCCATTGTCACGGTCACTATTGCATGAAATGCCTCTCAGTTACTGTCGGTCTACTTCTAAAATTAGTGAACTAACTACACCAACAACTGGACTCTTGGCTTCTACATCTGTAGTGAGTAGTTCCCAAACACAAAAGATCTTGGGTAAGTAAAATATGTACCAAACATTTTTGGACTATTTCTAACGCATATATTTCAATAGATTCTTTATGTGCCTCACAGCCGGAATAATGGATTTATCCCCCAAAATGCTAATTTAATGATGTCATATGCAGATTAACTTGACTATGGTCACCACTGATCCTAGAACTGGAGTCTTAAATTCAGGTATAAATGCATGTGCCCAACACTCGTACATTATTCATGATGTGTTTCATAGATGAGTGTACCATGATTAAGACATTTTGAATGATCATGATGGTTTGTGGGTTGACTGCTAACATGTTCCAGAATTGTTAGAGAACTAAAAATTCCAATGTATGGCTTGAACTGCTCTCCCTCTGAATGCTACCAGAAGGATTTCGTGTCTTTAGGAGACTTACAGCTCAAGTAAGGAATAGACAGACGAAAGCAGCAGCAAAAAGTAGGTAGTGAAATGGAGGAAAGAAAAAGGAGAAACATGAGGAGGACTTGAAAGTGAAGAAAATGCATTCAGTGCCGTGATAGGGAGTAAAGTTTCGACAGTTGTCAACTATGCATTCAGCAATACCTATGCTCTGGGGTGTTTGCTCCTCACCATGTTTAGAGACCTTCGAGGTATGTTTCCATGGTTTACTGAAAACACTACCGTCCTTGGAAACGTAGGACCTACTGTTTTTCTACCCCCCACAATGTGAGATGTAGGGTCAAGTATTTAGCATCTCTGGGTCTCATTTTCCGTAACTACAAAATAGGAATTAAAATATCAACTTCACAGGGCTTTATTTATCCTGAGAATAAATAAATGAGATATTTATGCAAATAGCCTAGCACACAGTAAATACTCAGTAAAAATTAGTTGTGAATCCGAACATACCTGTAAGCACCTTCTTTTAGAACAGGCTAGATTTGGGGTCTGTATTTCAGTTACCGACCAACTAGCAAACATTCCCACGACTGTCTGATGCCTTCATTTCCCTCTACCATTCTGTGACATTTACAGCCTGGCTGCTTCTTGTCTATATTTCATTTTGTTTCTGGTATTTTCCTAAGCCTTCGACAAAGTGCTATACAGGTTTTTGTCCTACCGCCATTACAGTCATATTCCCTATGTGCCATTGTTTGTATGACTAAGATAAATTTTCCAAAGAAGCCTCCTAAGCTTCCATTGACCTTTAGCAATGACTAAAATCCATATGCTTAAAAATGCATATACAGATTTTAAGCCTAGGAAGGAAAGATTTTTTATCATTTGGCACAATATCATCACGGCATATGTTCTATATTTGAGTTAAACTGTAAAAGCTCCTAGTAATGGGGGAAAAAACAAAATGTAGTGGCTCCCCCTTGCAAGAGGAGAGGTGAGTTGGGATATAGTCTTCTCCTTCAGTAACTGTAGATTTTGCTTTGGTAGATAGATGTCTGTGTCCACTGAGACTTGGGGCATGTGGTTCATTGCCGTCTGTTGTTCCAGATGAAATAACAACTAGGACCAAAATTAATGTGTCTTCTTTCCTTTTGGAATACACAGGCTTTTATTCCTCAGGATGAGTTGTTAAGAATGACACCATATAAGGATTAAGTAAATATGCACTTGACAGGGATGAACTAATTTGATTCCAAACATTTCCTCTCAATGAAATACTTTGAGGAACCCTCTTAAAGAACCACGGTTCTATTCCTTTATATCTTTCACCTTGCTTTGGTTTTGTTGAAGATATGAGAATCTAAAGCAAACTCTAGATTGTCTTAGTACTTTGAAGATTTTGAACGTAGGGTCACATTAACCAAAACTTTTTTCCTGTAATAATAGCTATCACTTATTGAGTACCAGCTAAATACTAAACTCTATGCTAGACACTAACCTACATTATCTCCAATCTTCATATTTCCCTACACAAGGTAGTATTACCCATATTTTATGATCAGAAAAACTGAAACTGCGAAAGTTTAAAACACTTGGCTTAGTAAGTTGCAGAGCTGGGATACAATTGCAGGTCTGTTAAAATCCAAGACACATTGCTCTTTCAACCCCACCAAGATGCCTCTTCACAGTGTAACTCTGTCTTTGCGGACACATGATTAGATTAGAAAGAACCAGCATGGTTCTGTGCAAAATCATGAAACCTATTTTGTATTTGAATCTTAGTAGAGAGAATTTCAAAAGAGTGGACTTCAGAGAGGATACTAGAATCAGATTAAGCATTAATTTATCTTTCTAATAAAGTGTTTTGGTGGGTTACAGGAAATTTAAATCTTTACCTGGCAAAAGTACTAGCCATTAGTAGAAAAGAACTCACTTGGGGTTTTAATTTATGGGCAGCAATTTGGGGAGTATAGCAAATAGGAACTAGTATAAAAGGCTATATTTATATATAATGTATTCAAATTTGACAGACTGAAATGTTTAACCTACTCAAACACTGATGATCCTTCTAGTACAACTAAATAATCATTTGAATAGTCATTATGTCGATGATGTAATCGATAGTTTAAAATAACAAAATCTCTAGGAATTGAGGATGTCACTAAAAATATTCACCTACTGGTTATTTTATAGACTTTTGTTTAAAGCTAAGTATTCTCATTGAGTTTGACAGTGACAGTAAAATGTATAATGAATACAGTCTTACGGCTCGCCAGTTAGCTCAGTTGGTTAGAGTGTGATGTTATAACACCAGTGTCAAGGGTTTGGATCCCTGTACTGGCCAACCACCAGACAAAAAGAAAAAAAGAATACAGTATGTAGACACAGGAAATAAAGATAATAGCTTTGGGTCTTTTGGTATCCTTTTATTTACTTCTGTATTGCTTGCTTCCCTCTTTGGTTTCTTTGAAAGATATCAGATGCCTCATAGTTCCAAAGAAACAGACTCTGTTGAGCCTTGATCCTGAGCCACCTATGATTGGGGAAGGAGAGGATTACTTCCTTTCTTTGTTTGGTAATTCAAAGAAACTTACTGCACACTCGAACAACACTGAGAAAATTTGCAAACATTTTTCCATGATTCTTGAAGAAGTTGGCCAATCTACATCCAGGTACACATTCTATTTGA